CAAAATATCAAATTTTTATTAAGTCTTAAGGTTTGTAAAGCAATGATTTTCTCATGTCTTTTTCTTCTTGCATGTTGCCTATCTATCATGCAAAGTAATATTCATTTTCATATTAAAAATACTTTTATGCATCAGAACATTTTCAAATTTCACATGAGAAATCTTTATAATGTCCAGATAGATATCAAAAGTTTCTTAAGAAAAAACGTTAGATTTATCTGTTATTTTAAGTAATTAATCTCTGTACGGGTTTGGTAGATTTGGTCAATCTTGCAACCACCATAAAAAATTAGGAAATAAAAATAAATTATGCCTCTTTCATTCTAGAATGAACACAAATTATAACATGAAAACAAATGTTTGGACTAAATAGCTTAAATCTCATAACATTATACATATTTATTATTTTCATTATATTGACATTTCAGCCGTGCCTGGCTAATAATACAGAAGTTACAATGATCTGGCTCACATGCACTCATGTTACTGTATTAAATAACATAAAACTACCTTTGGTCTTTACAAAGTAACTTGTCTTGGCTGTGTTTTAATAGACTAGTATTTTGTAAAATACAGTCACATTTCAGTTATTATACATTATATATGTATATAGATTATTACTATTTTGAAGGGTGTTTTAGTAGACTAGTATTTTGTAAAATACAGTCACATTTCAATTATTATACATTATATATGTATTTAGATTATTGCTATTTTGAAATAAGTTCTTAAACTTATTTTTCTTAAAACATAGAGATAATTGTTTGCTTTACTTCTTTAGTTACTGTTCTTCTAGTTACAATCTTTGCACTCAGTTGCCACTTGACGTAGGTCGCCAAGCCTTTAAAAAATTTGCATGTGGAGAATATGAAAAAACCTTTTTTTTAGTTTTATATATACATTTCAATAACTAAAAAAATCAAATTACTACATTGATATCATAGAATTCCACTGTAATTTATCAAGCTTAGTAACTAAGATGTATTTTAGTCTAAAACAATATGAAATTTCGAGCAGACTAAAGATCTCGTTGAAATTGCTTTAACCTAAATTTAACGAATTGGTTATACTACTTAACTGAATTATTTCAATTAATGCATGATATATTTTACAAAATTTTAGTTTAAATTATTACTTTATTTAGGTTTGGAAATGATTAATAACTGTACTACTTAACTTAAACAAAAGTATCCACATTACTTAGACCCTAACCTGAACAAAGGTTTTGATATCTTTGTAGCTCTGAGATCCCAGCTTCAGCAGTGATGATATTTGTGGCACATGCTGCAGTGGTAGGCCTAGTTTTCCAATCTGACTAATGCTAGTTACTTGTCCTTGTATCACCTTGGATATCTGACCTGGTCGGACACCCACTCGTTCTCGATAGAACACAAAATGTAATTTAACCGTAAAAATCTTCCCATATACATCATACTGTTGAGAACTGATCTCCGACATAGAGTAACAAGCCTATAAATGAATACATGATAACCAAAAATTATTTTTATGCAAAGTATAGCCTATTATTCTTCAAGATAAAATTCTGAGTTAAAAATAATCATACATGTATAACACTGACACTGATAAAAAAAAACATCTTGAGCACTTTCAAAATAATGTATAACCAAACATTAGCTTGAGAGGATGTTAAAAAATAACATTCACAAATATTAAAAGTTTCTCTGTTTATATCATCAAAAAATGAAAGATAGATATAAGTATTCATCTACAATGTAAAGAAAGAAATTTACTGAAAAACTAATTACACTTTTTCAAAATAGTAACTATATTTGCTGTAAGGGCATGGTTATTTCAAAACAAAATATTTTCTATCTTCAGACTTATAATTTCAGTAAAATAAAACAACGAATACAGCATGACCTCAGCAATATTGCTTCCTCCATTGTATATGTACCAAAATCACAAAAACATGAACGTAAAAAAAATACCCAGACTCACGTTTTATTTGCATTAGAAACTTTTTCAGAACAAAGGCATATTATGTGGAAATTAAATAGTAATATTCATTACCAATGGTATTTTAGTATATACAAGGTTATTAAACTCACACAAATGTAAGTTATTAACTATTCTTAATAACTTCTAATGACAGTTAGAAATTTCAATACAATAGAAAAAGGCCATGATAATTACAAGTACGTGCACAAAACCACTACCAGGTGACACTGCAAACAATTTCCATAAATACCATCACCATAACAGATTCTTGTTTAAAAATAATACTACAAATTTTACAAATCTTATGCATACACATTTTACCCATTGTTCACACAACTTGTTGAGTTTCTACATTTACTTTGTTATTTAACAAGTTTTTTTGAAATGTATTTTATCTTTGATAGGCTTATCAATCTGTAAACCGTAAAACCTTCATAACAAAAACAAATATGGGAAAATATTTTATTAATTTTTTTTTACTGTGACAAAAAATTCAATAAGATTTTAAAGAAAGTTTTTTTTTCACAAACAACAAATATTTTTAGAAGTTTTATTTGATTCCACAAGGGTCATATTAAATACAGTGGATAAGTCCTTCTTGTAACCTAATTTTAAGTGTACTTCTTTGAAATTTGTGTTTTTACTTTTGCTTTCTTTGATA